TAGATTTCAAACAGTAATAGCAGTTAAAATAAGTTTTATATAAAAAAATTACAACCGAAAATTATCAATACATCATACAAAATAGATCTACAAAAAGGAAACAAAAAATTAAATAATAAAAAAACAACAACAACAACGAAACTATAAATGCCCTTCACAATTCAGAGACAGTCAAAATAATCTTATGTATGAGTTTCAAGGATTCTACAAAATGAATCTTTAAGAAAATTAATTTAAAATCAGTAATAACATCCCCATAAAAACTAAATCATCATTTCCTTTGATTTTATCCTTCACCTTTAAATTCTTAAATTTATTATTTTAAATATATACACCATGGATTTCTATACATGACGATCAAAATGAACAACACTTGTATGTGTATTTAAAAATTTGCACCAATCTGCATTGATTTCAAACATACCTTATCTCCCCAAATAGAATGTACAACTGCCTGCACTTACTGTACATGTGACTAGACACGCCCATCATGTCACTAAGACACGCCCTTCATTTGACAAAAATGTTCATCATTTGACAAGACACGTCCATTTCACTTTTTTTGTCTATTCAACCTCGAGGGAATGGTAACACCAATGATGGCTACAATCCAGTAGACGGTGCCGAACAACATAAACACAAAACTGACGTCAAACGGTGGTCCTATAGCATCTGATGAATAACCGACTGTCCATGAATACAGAATACCGCCTACCAATGGAGCTAAAGACCTACAAAAATATAATATTTGGTCATTGTGATTATAAAATTACTAGGGCCGGGAACGAATAAGGAATTTGTTGTTCAAATATTCGTTTTCCATGTTCAAATAATATATATATTCAAATATTCGTTTTTACAAAACTCGTTCCAATATATCTCTTCAATATATCTCTTTTACGTAGTATCCGAAATTGATTAGGTCGAATACTATATTACTTTAATATGCTTGGAATAATTGATGACTAAGAAAAACGTTTCCTTTTTCATTGTACGAATATTGGGTAGTGTTTCTTTCACAATTTAAATTACTTTGATTACTGTCGCAAAACAGTATTACTGACTTCACACAAAAGATGTAGGGTTACAGATATTGTACTATGTTCAAATATAATTGAAAGATATATGGTAATTTTTCCTGTCTTACCTAAATATTGCTGTAATTGTCATAGAAAGACCATTCACTTGGCCTGCAAGCTCTGGTTCTACAGAATTGTTGATCAGCAACGAAGTACCAGAGAATACACAACTAACCATTAACTTCATCACTGTGTTTGTAGATAATAATAGCACCCATAATGAGACTGGCCTGAAATATAATTATTTCATCAGTAATAATACTGGCCTGAAAAATAACAATTTCACCAGTAATGATACTGGCCTGAAATTATAATAATTTCACCCATATTTACACTGGCCTGAAATATACCAATAGCATCTATAATTACACTGGCCTGAAATATAAAAATAGCACCCATAATGACACTGTCCTGAAATATAACAATAGCATCCATAATTACACTGATGTGAGTAGTAATGATTTCACCAGTTATTACAATTGCCTGAAATATAACAATGGCATCCATAATGATATTGGCCTGAAATATAATAATAGCATCCATAAAGACACTGGCCAGAGATGTAATAATTTCACCAGTATGACAGTGCTCTCAAACAATAATGACACTGGCATGGATTATAAGAAATACAAACATGAAACAAATATTGACAATGACATTAACTTAACTAACAGCACTCAATCAACCCATGTCTTAAAATATGACAATATCTATCAATATGCCACAGGTCTAAAATAAATCATGAGCATCAAAGGGGATACATTTAAGAATATATAAATAATATATCAAAGCAGAAGGGGGGGGGGGGGGGGGGGCAAAAGATGAGCATAAGCAGATAAGATTCTGGTTTTGACACTTTTCATTTTCTTACCTCACTACATATCTATAATGGACTTGTCCATGTTTTAATCTTAGCAAAACCATTCATAATGTTTTTGGAAAATTTCAAATTATGTTTTCAGTTTATACTGAATAGCAAACAGTGCAGACTTTCACCAGAGCTTGCAATACTCTATGTTAGTCTGTACTGGATGCATGGCTAGAATCTGTTGCCACCAGCATTATAAGAGTTAAAGGTAGTCTTTTTCATCAACTTTATCAATTACGTACCACCCAAAACTGTTACTGGGTAGGAGAAATTTTAGGTATTGAAACAGTGCAGAAGACTTACTTCCCAACAAGTAAATGAAGACATGGCATTCCCTCTGTAAACACCATCAACAATGATGTACATATCACCATAGTCTGAAAATACAAAATGAGAAACAATGTTAAATCATTATCAAGATTTCAAGAATATCAAATTTAAAATAAAACAAATGCTAATGATAAAACTATACATTCCTTGTGAGAGGTAATTCAATAATTATGAAGAGCAAAATTCATATACATATGTATGGCACAGCCATGCATATAACATGAAAATAAGACTAGTTGGGCAAATGTCACTTTTGTTTAGAGGTTGTTTGCATCAGAGAAGTCAAACTGATTAAAAAAAAATCCACTGTATTTTCAGATTGTATGACCATTTTTCAATGAAGTTCAATAAATTCAGTAACAAATCTACAGTCATTTAATATCCAACTACATGCCGATTTACCATTGTGAATACAGCCAACATTGCACTGAAGTCACCGTAAGCAAAACAATTAGCCCTACTTGTGCTTCCTTTGATATTAACAACCAATGGCACCAGGATATAGCCTGGCCACTGAAGTCTAAATTGGTTGTGGTTTATCAAGTTTATACCACAGCAAACAGCTATGAACCACATTAAATTAACAATAGCACAGTTCATCCACCACATTGTTCCTGGGCAGGTTATCAAGCAGTTTACCACCAGTACTAGTTGCATTTACTTTTACAAGAATATTACTTCTGTGCATGCCAGAAGTACATTGAAAATGATCAGCGTAAATTTTATGATCAATTAAAACAAAAAAGACCTGCAATTCTCTAAACTAATTATCAACTGTACAACATTCTTAAGGTATGTGTCCTGTTCATTACAGATTTAATAGGGTAAGCGTTAAATTTTAGATTTAAAGTTATATTACAGAGATTTTACAGAGTAAGCATTAAATTTGCAATTTAAAGTTATGTCTTACCTTTTTAATACCAAGCCTTCTGACTAGATTAGGAAATACAAATAATTGTAAAAACAGTAGAGGCAATGCAGTTGTACCTAGAACAGTTCCTATCTCATTAGGTTCAAATCCCAGTCCATCTGAAAAACAAAAATATTTTACAATTATCAGCAAACATCAATATTTGAGTCACATCATTTGAGCTTTTTAACTACGATTATTTCAAATTATTAAGTAACTATATCCACTACTGGAAAAGCTGAATATTTGGAAGAAAGTTTTTTTTAATATTTTCGCTTAGGAAATAAATATTTACTGTTGTATATGTCTACATGTTTGTTTGTTTGGTTTAGTTTTATGGTGCACCAACACAATTTAGTTCATACCCCGCCGAAACAGGAAAGATGATTTTGGCTTAGGCTAACTTCGGGTGTTACAAACTTAAAGCAAAACCAGGGGGTCAAAACCACATCACCTGGTGGAGCTAAGAGATGAACAGACTCAAATAAATTGAACCTGTTTCGTCGCCCTTTACGATCACGCAGGGATAAACAGTGGCTGCAATTCTGATGACTCAATGCTTAAAAGCAACTCCTTAGCAACAAAAGGGAGGTCTACATGTATATATTATATATGAACATAAATTAAAGTTATGCTTAATATACAAACCTAGCATAATGTCAGTTGATGCCCAAACAGAGAAAATATCTTCAACTCCTATTACACTAAATGAGAACAGCGAGTAGAGCAAAATTGATATAAATACATCATATCTCCTGAAATACAAAAAAAATATCTTGAAATCAAAATTACTGTTAAATATGAAATTATGAAATTGCGATGGAATAATGTTTGTTTGTGAATTGAAGATTTTTCACTAAAAATATTGTTCTCTAAGTATCATATAAATTCAATACAAGTGGAAACAGAAGCTCACAATTCATTAAACCTTATTCTCCCATTAGGGACCTTGACTTTGCGCATAATCTTGCCATTTACTCTTAAATGTTACATTAGCAAAAAATTTTGGTTACACGAAAAGATCTGATTTTACATATTATTTAATTGAATACATTAAATTTTTAATTCACACATTAACATTGAATATACATTGTACATATATAGATAACAGCTCTTTCTTATTACCTCCCTTTACCTTCATGACTTAAAACTTTCTATAATGGTTCACATTAAGGAAATATTTCATTTCAGTGCATTGTTTTTCAGATATAGCTCATATGCGCAGCAATGTAATCATGAGGGTTAGTAGGCCATGGCGATTAATTATAAAGCAATTGACATATTGTTACTGTCAATGAAACAAAAATTCGTATCAATTTTTATTCTTACTTGCTTAAAAATACATGTAAAAGAAAATAAAGTAAATCTGTAGAACTATACTTAACAGGAAAGTAATTTTCATGACATCATCATTCCGTTTATTGGCTACACATCTGATGTCATTATGTGATGTAAACATACCTTATTTATTATTTACATCATTATGTAGTAATGCAAATGAGAGCTCAGTCTGTTTCAGTGTCTATTCTATTCTATTCTATATTTATGAGAAATCCCCCCTATTTTTTTTCAGAGGCAGGCGGAAATTTTTTACATAGACATGATAGAGAAAGAAAAAGATCAACAAATGTAATAAATTCTCACTTTTCGATAACCCCCCTCCCCCCCTTCTTTTTAGAATAGACACTGCTGTTTAATATGGAAATGATATGAATTTAGAATCAAGAATATAACAAAGCGATTTTCCCTTAAACATGGAAATGAAGTAGTATCATAAAATCTTTGAAACATAGCCTAAAAAATACATACCCTAAAAGTTGTATCACAGACCAATTTCTCAAAGTTGCACAACACTTCTTATTATCTCCCTTTTCATGCTCTTCAACAGAATTTAAATCTCCATTAGCACCATGTAACTCTCCATTCTTCTGCTGGGGAGGTAAAAACTTCTCTGTTACTACTTCCCGCTCACTCACTCCATTTCTCGTATCACTTTTAACACTAATTGATCTATTATACTCAACTTTAGTCGATTCTGTGTTATTATCGTCAATATAAAAATGTTTGTTAATATTTTTATCCGAATGTGACTTTTTAATGTGTGGCGAATCATTTATTTCATGAAATGATATTCCGCGTCTGGTTATGTGAATTTCCTTCCTTGAACCTAAAAAGATAAATTTGATGAAAAGTTATGGTAAAGGTAGTTCATAAACTTTCATATTACTGTTATAATGAGAAGAGTGTTAACTCTTAGCCTACTGGCAGCAAGTGACTCTACCCATGTTACCAGTACAGACAAAGATCAGCTGATACCATCTTATCATAGAAATCACTGTTTGTAATTCAGTCAGAAAATATTTTGAAATTTTCCCTAAAAATACAGAATGATTTTGTCCATACTGAAATAAGCCCTTTTAAGCACTCTCAATCAAAGCACTTCAAAACACAGATTGTTTTCAAGCATTTTTCAAAACCTGGATAATACCCACACAAGGAACACATCAAATCATTCATTCAGAAAACTGACTGCCAGTTTTCTGACTTTGAAAAGAAATAGAGGAATCTCTGTACCTTTTTACAACAATTATTTCAATCGAAAGCAGGCACATACAAGTAAGTTAAATCATAAAATGTTTGCATAAAATCATAATCGGGAACATAAACTCCATGTAAACAATGTCAAGAAAGTCAACTTTGTCTTATGCTGAACATTTGAGCCGCTAAGTTTTAACAGTCCTTCAAAAGGTATACATGTAAGAATTATATATTAAACTCAAAATTGACTGACATTTGACCTTAAAGAGTGACCTTGACCCCGGCATAGCAGTGACTATGTTCTGCCATAGTACATGGGATGTTCAGTATATAAAGAATAAAGGCTTGTAAACAAAAAAACCTCTTTATGTATATTTACTTATAAAGTGAACACTTGAGTCTAGTTAGAAGAAAATCCATCACAGGTGACAGATTTATAGAGCAAACACAGTATACTAAGACTGATGTTTGTTTGTTTGTTTGTTTCATTTTACGCCTTTTCCCTCATATAGGAGGGTAGTTTCCTAACCATCGTTCCTGGAGAGTTACACCAGTACTAGACTACCTTCCTCCGCACTAAACTACCAAAGCATCTCCGGGGGATCGAACCCACGCCAGAGAGGTAACTGAATTAGATGTCATCGACTCTAACCCATCGACCACAGAGACGGAATAGACTGATGTGACAGAATGATTCCAGTATAGACCCCTCTACATTATGTGGGAGTATAAATGCCAAAATGAAATGTACACATTCATGTTCATTTTTTAGCAATTACAAAAGTTAGTTCACCTTGGAGACCTGCTGCGGATATGGGTACAGTCCAGCATGAGGTGATCACTTAAAAGAAAAACTTACAGCACTTTACTCACAAATTCCAGCCCTGACAACAAACTGAATTTTTATATGCTTATTTTACCTGCAAGGTAAGTAGCCCCTTCAGACTCTACATGAAGGTTTTCACAAGATATCGCCTGTCTTGGGTCGAATTCCCGCAGATGTAATGGGAAATGTTTCACATGCGGAGATTTACTACAGGCATGTGCCGAGTGTAGACTGGTTTTATCATCATCACCTTCTTCTTCTATTAAAATATCTGTCTCAGGTCTGAAAAAAATAATCAAGAAATTTTTTTATCACTCAGCAAGAAAGACTGTTCCATATAACAAAAGTTGTTAAGGGTTGTTTTTTTTTCCATTTTTTGTCTGATATAGATATATATGCTTAGAGTTGTTGCCTTATAAAGTGTAATTATGCAATGAAACAGAAAACCAATCTATGTGAGTTTCCATGATTTATTTCTATGGTCAGTCACACTCCTGAACTATCTGGAACATTTGAAACAAGAGGTTGCCCCTCTAATAGAAATCAATTAGTCCTGTTACATTGACTTCTTAGGATCAGAATTGTTAAATTGGTACTTTTCACCTTAAATCTAATGAGGTTGTGATATTACAAAAAAATTTACCATTGACCATTTCTGTCAAAAATTTAACTAAGTCTGTCAATAGGAAGTGAATGAGAGACAGACCTGAAACCAAATCCTACAGTATGGGACTACATGTCAATGCTGTATGCCAAATATCAAGAGACTGTGATAAGAAGTTGCTGAGAAAATTTCCTACCATTGATCATTTATGTCGAAAATTTAACTAAGTCAGTAAATAGGAAGTGGACTAGAGACAGACCTAAAATCAAATCCCACAGTATGGGGCCATAATTATGTTAATGCTGTATGCTAAATATCAAGAGGCTGTGATAAGAAGTTGTTGTGAAAAATGTTACGTAAAATTTCCTACCATTGACCATTTATGTCGAAAATTTAACTAAGTCGTTACCACTGACCATTTATGTAAAAAATTTGACTAAGTCGTTAAACAGGAAGTGGATGAGCGACAGACTTGAAATCCGATCCCACTGTTTTAATGATGTATGCCAAATATCAAGAGTTTAAATTTACTTTCACCATACTATAACTCAACATTACACTATAACCCAGGTTTGCATCTAGGTGCAACCCAGCCAAAAAATTGTGTTACAGGATCTTTCCTGTATGTTGTAAAAAAGGTAGTAAACAGGTAAAAGAAATTTTATATATGCATATAATTATGCTTCTTAAACAACTTTCCTCACATCGAAGATTATGTAAAATATGTACTGCAAATATGTGTACATATTATATGTAATCATTAAAATATATGCATTCATTTCTTACTGAAAAATTTGACTTAGACTTTATAGAAAATTAATTTCTAATTACCTCCCTTTATTAACATGAAATGTAAATTTGGTAATATCTTACAATAAGGTATGAAACTAACAATATTGATGAAATCTTCATTTGAGCATCATATTTATGATATAAAACCATAAAAAAAATTTAGTTACAGGATCTTTAAATAGCACTGACATAAAAAACAAATGTTACAGCAAAATTTTTCAAGACAATCAAATAAGAATTACAAATATAATACAATATAAGAAATAGGTTTACTTTTTTATATACATAGGAAATAGGCTTACTTTTTGTATAGTGTTTCAGGTAGCCATATGAAGTCAATGATGAATGCCACCATGCATATGACAAATGCTATAAAGCTGGGAAGCATATAAGGAAATTGGTAAAAGAAACCTTCAGACGGAAACGTGCTAGGATAGCGTTTACAAGGGTTCGCTAAATAACCTGAAAAATAAAGACAAAATTCAATTTACAAGTAATGTACATTCAGAAGTTAAATATATCCTGGGAAATACAGAATATTGAGGATATTGAATGAGTGTAGTTTAAAACTAAATTTGTTTAACGAGTTGAATAAAATCCTATTATGCGAGCCTCTGGCGAGCATAATATTGTTTTATTCAACAAGTTCAATAAATTTAGTATTGAATCTACACGAATATAATATTCTTTTTATCACATATATAAAAGAGAACAGTAAACTGTTAAAAGGAGTAATTTTTCAATGACGCATTTATAGTGTAACGCTTACATTAGCACGCTTTAACGCTATGTTTCTATATAGCGCAAATGACGTCCCGTCAAAGTGTTATTACACTAGTGTAATATCGTTTTTATTAAATGGCTTTATTACACTCCTGTGCCGCCGTTTATGTGATAAATTAAATGACTGATGGTTCATTACTGAATTTATTCAAGGAGTTGCATGAGAAAATTAAATCATTAACTTATTAAAATATACAGTGTATAGACACTGATTAAAATGGTCATACATAAATACCATCCAACTGAGGCTATATCAAGACCAGACATATTCTAAATATTAAATTGTCACAATAGTTTGGAACTTTTTCTATCCATACACATCACACAATAGATTGCTTGACTTTTCAGGGCTTAATAGTAAAACAAGAGCATGGATAATGTATAATTTTTCAAGTTCAAAAAGGGAAATAATTCTGATTCTGAAATACTTCAATCATATACAAAAAAGTCATGAACAGGTTCATACCTCCTACAGCAGGTCCGGTGATAATTCCAAGCCCCCAGGCCACTGATATGATGGACATGCCTACAGCCTGGTTAGTGTTGTCTGAAATCTCGTACAACATTGTCTTAGTTGTTCCGACAGTACCTGCATAAAACAAAATACATGCTAAATCATAGATCTACTTTCCCCCAGTACCTGTAGATAACAGAATACATGCTAAATCATAGATCTACTTTCCGCCAGTACCTGTAGATAACAGAATACATGCTAAATCATAGATCTACTTTCCGCCAGTACCTGTAGATAACAGAATACATGCTAAATCATAGATCTACTTTCCGCCAGTACCTGTAGATAACAGAATACTTGCTAAATCATAGATCTACTTTCCGCCAGTACCTGTAGATAACAGAATACGTGCTAAATCATAGATCTACTTTCCGCCAGTACCTGTAGATAACAATACATGCTAAATCATAGATCTACTTTCCGCCAGTACCTGTAGATAACAGAATACTTGCTCAATCATAGATCTACTTTCTGCCAGTACCTGTAGATAACAGAATGCATGCTAAATCAAAGATCTACTTTCCGCCAGTACCTGTACATGCTAAATCATAGATCTACTTTCCGCCAGTACCTGTAGATAACACAATACATGCAAAATCATAGATCTACTTTCCACCAGTACCTGTAGATAACAGAATACGTGCTAAATCATAGATCTACTTTCCGCCAGTACCTGTAGATAACATAATGCATGCTAAATGATAGATCTACTTTCCACCAGTACCTGTAGATAACATAATGCATGCTAAATGATAGATCTACTTTCCGCCAGTACCTGTACATGCTAAATCATAGATCTACTTTCCGCCAGTACCTGTAGATAACACAATACATGCTAAATCATAGATCTACTTTCCGCCAGTACCTGTACATGCTAAATCATAGATCTACTTTCCGCCAGTACCTGTAGATAACACAATACATGCAAAATCATAGATCTACTTTCCGCCAGTAGCTGTAGATAACAGAATACATGCTAAATCAAAGATCTACTTTCCGCCAGTACCTGTAGATAACACAATACATGCAAAATCATAGATCTACTTTCCGCCAGTACCTGTAGATAACACAATACATGCTAAATCATAGATCTACTTTCCGCCAGTACCTGTACATGCTAAATCATAGATCTACTTTCCGCCAGTACCTGTAGATAACACAATACAAGCTAAATCAAAGATCTACTTTCCGCCAGTACCTGTAGATAACACAATACATGCAAAATCATAGATCTACTTTCCGCCAGTACCTGTAGATAACACAATACATGCAAAATCATAGATCTACTTTCCGCCAGTACCTGTAGATAACACAATACATGCTAAATCATAGATCTACTTTCCGCCAGTACCTGTAGATAACACAATACATGCTAAATCATAGATCTACTTTCCGCCAGTACCTGTAGATAACAATACATGCTAAATCATAGATCTACTTTCCGCCAGTACCTGTAGATAACACAATACATGCTAAATCATAGATCTACTTTCCGCCAGTAGCTGTAGATAACAGAATACGTGCTAAATCAAAGATCTACTTTCCGCCAGTACCTGTACATGCTAAATCATAGATCTACTTTCCGCCAGTACCTGTAGATAACAGAATACATGCTAAATCATAGATCTACTTTCCGCCAGTACCTGTAGATAACAGAATACATGCTAAATCATAGATCTACTTTCCGCCAGTACCTGTACTTGCTCAATCATAGATCTACTTTCCGCCAGTACCTGTAGATAACAGAATACATGCTAAATCATAGATCTACTTTCCGCCAGTACCTGTAGATAACAGAATACATGCTAAATCATAGATCTACTTTCCGCCAGTACCTGTAGATAACAGAATGCATGCTAAATCATAGATCTACTTTCAGCCAGTACCTGTAGATAACAGAATGCATGCTAAATCATAGATCTACTTTCCGCCAGTACCTGTAGATAACAGAATACATGCTAAATCATAGATCTACTCCCTCCAGTACCTGTAGATAACAATACATGCTAAATCAAAGATCTACTTTCCGCCAGTACCTGTAGATAACAATACAAGCTAAATCATAGTTCTACTTTCCGCCAGTACCTGTAGATAACAGAATGCATGCTAAATCATAGATCTACTTTCCGCCAGTACCTGTAGATAACAATACAAGCTAAATCATAGATCTACTTTCCGCCAGTACCTGTAGATAACAGAATACATGCTAAATCATAGATCTACTCCCTCCAGTACCTGTAGATAACAATACATGCTAAATCAAAGATCTACTTTCCGCCAGTACCTGTAGATAACAATACAAGCTAAATCATAGTTCTACTTTCAGCCAGTACCTGTAGATAACAGAATGCATGCTAAATCATAGATCTACTTTCCGCCAGTACCTGTAGATAACAATACAAGCTAAATCATAGATCTACTTTCCGCCAGTACCTGTAGATAACAGAATGCATGCTAAATCATAGATCTACTTTCCGCCAGTACCTGAAGATAACAGAATACATGCTAAGTCAAAGATCTACTTTCCGCCAGTACCTGCATGAAACAAAATACATGCTAAATCATAGATCTACTTTCCGCCAGTACCTGTAGATAACACAATACATGCTAAATCATAGATCTACTTTCCGCCAGTAACTGTAGATAACAGAATACGTGCTAAATCAAAGATCTACTTTCCGCCAGTACCTGTAGATAACAATACAAGCTAAATCATAGATCTACTTTCCGCCAGTACCTGTAGATAACATAATGCATGCTAAATGATAGATCTACTTTCCACCAGTACCTGTAGATAACAATACATGGTAAATCATAGATCTACTTTCCGCCAGTACCTGTAGATAACACAATACATGCTAAATCATAGATCTACTTTCCACCAGTAACTGTAGATAACAGAATACATGCTAAATCATAGATCTACTTTCCGCCAGTAACTGTAGATAACAGAATACATGCTAAATCATAGATCTACTTTCCGCCAGTACCTGTAGATAACAGAATGCATGCTAAATCATAGATCTACTTTCCGCCAGTACCTGAAGATAACAGAATACATGCTAAGTCAAAGATCTACTTTCCGCCAGTACCTGCATGAAAACAAAATACATGCTAAATCATAGATCTACTTTCCGCCAGTACCTGTAGATAACACAATACATGCTAAATCATAGATCTACTTTCCGCCAGTACCTGTAGATAACAGAATACATGCTAAATCATAGATCTACTTTCCGCCAGTACCTGTAGATAACATAATACATGCTAAATCATAGATCTACTTTCCGCCAGTACCTGTAGATAACATAATACATGCTAAATCATAGATCTACTTTCCGCCAGTACCCGTAGAAAACAAAATACGTGCTAAATCATATACATTCACCTTCCACGGCCAGCAAAATCAATTGTCGGTATTGCCCAGGTTGTCCCACAGCCTGTACATTCCTTTATAAATATCATAAAGACTACTTAAAAAAAAGATATAAATGCTAAAAACAAGTTAGTCTAATTCAGATTTTGCCGGCCCTGCCTTCTCATAATTATACAGTTTAAACATTTATTCACTCATATAACTCCAGTACTGGTTAGTTCTGGGAAATGGACTCCGAGTGATTTCAGTAAGCTTCAAGCTTTCATCATAATGTTGCCTTAGTGCAGTAATGGGTTAACTCCAATTAAATTATAAATTATACTTGTAAAGTTAGCTTGTTACTACACTATGGTGACAATATTGGAGCTTAAACCTTACAATTTCTCAATATATCACTTTTTGATAAAGAAACCCTATAAATAACAATGTATACATGTAGTTTCAATTTAATGAAAGGCATTGCACAATTTCTGTAAAGCAGATAAAGGTTAGAGACAGTTAAGTACCTATAACTACATACCATTCACAAGACCAGCAAGCATTCTCATGATCACAGCAAAGTATATATTGGTAGTAAAGCCAAAAGCTAAAGAGCAAATTCCTATCAGAAATACAGTGGTGAGAACTATGGGACGTCTTCCTTTCTTGTCGGATATCCAGCCCCAGAAATAACTGAAATTGTGAAACATGTGAATCATACAATCTGCAACACAGTACTCCTCAACACCATAACAGATATCTTATAAAGAGTGTTATAAACTGTGCAGGGTAAAGACATCTTGTAAAGAGTGTTATAAACTGTGCAGGGTAAAGACATCTTGTAAAGAGTGTTATAAACTGTGCAGGGTAAAGACATCTTATAAAGAAAGTGTTATGAACTGTGCAGGGTAAAGACATCTTGTAAAGAGTGTTATGAACCGTGCAGGGTAAAGACATCTTATAAAGAGTGTTATGAACTGTACAAGGTAAAGACATCTTATAAAGAGCATTATAAACTGTGAAGGGTAAAGACATCTTATAAAGAAAGTGTTATGAACTGTGCAGGGTAAAGACATCTTATAAAGAGTGTTATGAACTGTACAAGGTAAAGACATCTTATAAAGAGCATTATAAACTGTGAAGGGTAAAGACATCTTATAAAGAAAGTGTTATGAACTGTGCAGGGTAAAGACATCTTATAAAGAGTGTTATGAACTATACAAGGTAAAGACATCTTATAAAGAGCATTATAAACTGTGAAGGGTAAAGACATCTTATAAAGAAAGTGTTATGAACTGTGCAGGGTAAAGACATCTTATAAAGAGTGTTATGAACTGTACAAGGTAAAGACATCTTATAAAGAGCATTATAAACTGTGAAGGGTAAAGACATCTTATAAAGAAAGTGTTATGAACTGTGCAGGGTAAAGACATCTTATAAAGAGTGTTATGAACTGTACAAGGTAAAGATATCTTATAAAGAGCATTATAAACTGTGAAGGGTAAAGACATCTTATAAAGAAATGTTATGAACTGTGCAGGGTAAAGACATCTTATAAAGAGTGTTATGAACTGTACAAGGTAAAGATATCTTATAAAGAGCATTATAAACTGTGAAGGGTAAAGACATCTTATAAAGAAATGTTATGAACTGTGCAGGGTAAAGACATCTTGTAAAGAGTGTTATAAACTGTGCAGAGAAAAGATATCTAATAGAGTATGCTATAAACTGTGCAAGGTAAAATATCTTATAAAGAAAGTGTTATGAACTGTGCAGGGTAAAGACATCTTATAAAGAGTGTTATGAACTGTACAAGGTAAAGACACCTTATAAAGAGCATTATAAACTGTGAAGGGTAAAGACATCTTATAAAGAAAGTGTTATGAACTGTGCAGGGTAAAGACATCTTATAAAGAGTGTTATGAACTGTGAAAGGTAAAGACATCTTATAAAGAACATTATAAACTGTGAAGGGTAAAGACATCTTATAAAGAAAGTGTTATGAACTGTGCAGGGTAAAGAAATTTCATAAGATAGTTAACAACTTTGCAGGGTACAAAGCATTAATTAATGTCTTCAAAAGTGATATTAAACTACCATAAGCTAAACATACATTATTTGCTAAATGAACAGAAGTTCGCCAACAAAACAAACACCTTTAGCACATTTCAGAATAGTACTTTGTGCAGATAAGCATTCATTTTGCAGTGAGGTTGGAAGAATTTCAATCTGCAACTACACTGCTAGTGCTAAACCTCACTCTACTGCTAGTAAGTCCTGGCTCCCCCCACCCCGCCAAAACCTAGATAACAGATGGTTATTCATTAGGATATGTGCTACAAAGGTAAAGATTTAACAGTAAAGCAGAGATTGTATGTCTGTTATAAGCATTAACTGGCTTACAAGTAAAAACCTACCTGCCAAAAACTCGACCAACAAACATAGATGAGGCAATTATTCCAGCATAATATCCTTTATCCACCTCTTTATAACCAAATGTCTGAAATAGTAATAGAATACATATGAGCTGTGTCACGACAAAACCAACATAGTTGGTTTGTGACCAGCATGGATCCAGACCATCCGCGCAGTCTGATCAGGATCCATGCTGTTTGCTTACCAACCCTATAACAACTAGAGAAACTGATAGCGAACAGCATGGATCCTGATCAGACTGCGCGGATGCGCAGGCTGGTCTGGATCCATGCTGGTAGCAAACGGACAATGTTGGTTTTGTCATGGCGCGGCTCATATAAATTAAGATAAAGTAAAACTCTGACAATGAGAGCCATTATATTTATTTTGAAACTATATAGAATTGTTTTTTCTAAAGAAACTGTAGTCTTCTTTATGTCTCTTTAACCTCTTACCTGCTGGAAACTTTGTTTGTTTTTTTTGGGGGGTGTTACGTCACATCGACACAGTATAGGTCTATGGCGACGTTCCAGCTTTACTGGTGGATGAAGACCTCAGGTGCCCTTCCATGCATTATTTCAGGCACAAATGGGCACCTGAGTAGAACCACCAAAGTTCCTTAAGCTAGCTGGAAAGCTTCCTCACATGAAAGAATCCAAAGTCCCGGTCAAGATTCGAACCCAAAGCGGTAAGGGGCAAGTGGTTTGAAATCAACAACCTTAACCACTCGGCCACAAGGCCCCTAACCAGCTGGAAACAAAACTGATTGGCCTTTGCCACTAGTATACAGCTATAACAGCCTAAAAGTCAGCGCAGTCTGACCAGGCTCTATACTGTTGGCTTAATGTACAGTTCAAAAAGATAGAGGCTGATCAAGTCAATTATAAAACTTCAGCTGATTACTGGTCATCTACACAGCAATATTAATATTTCTGATAATCAAGACTGTTTTAAAGTACTCACACAAATGAATGCCTTCAATATTTATCTTAAACTATACTGTTACTTACCAAGATCATTTCCGGCAGAAAAGGAAATAAATATGTGATGTTGAATGAACTGCCAAACTGAAAAATAAAACTTAAGTATTTTACAAAAAAAAGAACATTTCAAGAAACATTATTATGAATTACATTTCTATTCAAAAGAATTCTAATAAGTTTTAATGAATAAATTAACCCTGGTTATTCTAACCACTTTCAAGTAAACTTTCTGGAACAAAACAACACACAACACACCTGTGTCATTTGAGCAGAGGGAACACTGTTATTGTCCGTATTGCCCTCCAGAGAAGTGGAAATTTACAATAATTTACTGTATAAATATCATACGGACAAGTTAAGAAATATTTCAGATTCAAATAGACAAATAAGTCAAAACAGCACTGTATTGTCCCTCTAGGGCTCAAACCTTATATCCCTTGGACAAAAGCAGTGCGTATTCATAACGGTACCATACTCTTTTTAACAATCTACAGATATGCTATTATTATCTCAATCTTTCAAAAAGAAATCAGTTATGCTGGTGCAACACTTAAACAAACAAATAAGCCGCGTCACGACAAAACCATCGTAATGTGTTTGCGACCAGCATCTGCGCAGTCTGATCAGGATCCATGCTGTTCGCTAATAAACCCTATAACAAGTAGAGAAACTGATAGTGAACAGCATGGATCCTGGTCAGACTGCGCGGAGGCGCAGACTGGTCTGGATCCATGCTGGTCGCAAACCCATTATGTTGGTTTTGTCGAGACACGGCTCAAATATCCCATAGTTTAAATTTATACTTTCTGAATGTAGCTCATAAAATGAAAATTATACTGCAGTGAAATATCTACTATATCTTACCAAAGAGATAAATACTAGAAATATCACTTTCCAGTTCACTGGACTTGCCCCTTCATCTGTTAGACTCAGTTTTGTCTTCACAGATTTAAAGGCAATCCACACGTATGACTGTTTCCGTGGCAACTGTGATGTTTCAGGGGCTGGTTCCATCATTGATAATGGTTGTTCAACATCAGCTTCTTCAACAGAACCAGCGTCTTTATTTCTAGTCTTTTTCTGACCCATTTTCTATGGTTTCTTAGCAATCAATAACTGGAAAAAAACAACATAATATTATATAGCATCAGTGACCTGTATCCTAAATTGTATTTTAGTATAAAAAGTGAAGCATTCTTCATCTTCAGGGTTTTCATTTGTATCTGGGGCAACAGATGAGCCAAATGAAACAACCAATTTGGCCAAACTTCAATGGTGATATTTTAATATACAGGCTGATACTACAACAAATTTTAACAGCATTTTAACTGATGATATGGATCATCAATCTGTTAATAATGAAATCCCTGATCTTGTTATATGTATCAGGTAGATAAACAAGAGCTGTCGGTAGGACAGCAACGCTCGACTATTCTTAGTGCTTGATAGTAAAACAAGAGCTGTCAGTAGGACAGCAACGCTCGACTATTCTTAGTGCTTGATAGTAAAAAAAATGCTTGATACAGTTACCTCCTCCTGTTTACAGGTTGGGGTCATGATGGTGAACAAGTGTGCAAAGTTTCAAAGCCATATGTCAATGGACTTTGAAAATATTTGAACTATTACAAAAACTTTAACATAAATTCTAAGTCGAAAAAGGGGCATAATTCTGTCAAAATGCTTGATAGAGTTACCTCCTCCTGTTTACAGGTTGGGGTCATGATGTTGAACAAGTGTGCAAAGTTTCAAAGCCATATGTCAATGGACTTTGAAAATATTTGAACTATTACAAAAACTTTAACATAAATTCTAAGTCGAAAAAGGGGCATAATTCTGTCAAAATGCTTGATAGAGTTACCTCCTCCTGTCTACAGGTTGGGGTCATGATGGTGAACAAGTGTGCAAAGTTTCAAAGCCATATGTCAATGGACTTTGAAAATATTTGAACTATTACAAAAACTTTAACATAAGTGGTTACGCCGACGCTCGGGTGACTGCAATAGCTCTACTTATTCTTATCGAATAGTCGAGCTAAAAAGCCTTGATAATGCAATCATCAAGCTTATCGAATAGTCGAGCTAAAAAGCCTTGATAATGCAAAAAATTTTAAGTTAACAAAAGGGCAAAATTTTTCTTTAAATCCATGTTACAGTTATAGGCCTTGAAGAGAGTCCTATTATGCTCTCAAAGAAGAGTATAAAATTTCAACTTGTTTCAAAGCCAGATGTCAATAGAATATGAAAATATCTGAGGTGGTATGCAAACTTAAATGTAAATTCTAAGTCGAAAAAGGGGCATAATTCTGTCAAAATGCTTGATACAGTTACCTCCTCCTGTCTACAGGTTATGGGTCATGATGGTAAACAAGTGTGCAAAGTTTCAAAGCCATATGTCAATGGACTTTGAAAATATTTGAGGTATTACAAAAACTTTAACATAAGTGGTTACGCAGACACCGACGCTCGGGTGACTACAATAGCTCTACTTATTTTTATTGAATAGTCGAGCTAAAAAGAAATACATTGGTTACTTTATGTTTTAGGAACAGACCAGGAAAAAAAGAAAACTTGATATAAGTCAGCTGCTGACTTTAATAGCGAGCTCGAATTGCTGGCCCAAAGGGAGCTTTACGGTAATGCGAGTACCCAGTGTTTTTTTTCACTTTTGGGGGAAGGGGGTCGGTGCCCTTTGGAGGGGGAAAAATGCAATAGGAGGGGAAATTTTATTTGTTTACTTATTTTATATTGTTTTCTTTGTGGTGGAAAAGGGGAGCAACATTTGTAACATAAGTTTAAAATACGTCTCTTTTTCCTAATATACGGATCTAAAATATCGTCGCGTCGCATGTTAAACTTGTTGGGACGCCGAGAGTAGCTTCCCTTTTCCACCAGAGAATGATTTGTAAACAACTTTGCTTTACAGTAACTCTTACAGGCATAAAATAATTCATTTTTCGGCAGTTAGTTGCAAAAAATATGATATTCATTGCAGGCAAATTCGGGCTGCCATATAGGGGGAAATTAAGGCTTTGAGGGGGGAAAAAAACATACTATTTTGAGGGGGGAATGGGGCCGAATTTCGCCAAATATTTTGGTGAATAAAAACACTGGTACCTGCTAGATATTGATGGTTTTGAAAACTTTTGCCAGAGGTACTGAATTGACACACTTCAACTTTTCGTATTACAAGAATAAAAGCCAAGGAATTCTGATTGAAAACAGATGATTAGACTGATGTGAACTAGGGCTGGATCAATATACCGGTAAATCGGTATTTATCGATTTTCCGTTTTTCAATACGGTACGGTTATCGGGTTTTAGCTATACCGATACAAAGGGAGACAACCTAATAACACTTATAAACATGATGGCTTTACATTAAAACTATTGTCTTTCAAATGTCCGCACACAAGTCAAAAGTGTGGAATTTTCTCTAAAGTAAATGTTAAGAAGGCCCTCATCAATATTTGAAAGGCTGCATTGATTAGTTCAGGTGGAACAACGAATATGTCAATACACAAAATGACGGATAAATCCGTGACAAAATTTATCCGGCCATTCAATCTCCTATTTCTAACACTGGTAAAAACTACTTTCAGGTCGGCAGTAGTTTGTATTAGACCAAAAATTTACTTGTAATTTTTTAAACACATATTGTGAACACATAAATCCTACAAATTTATTAATTTTCCATGATGTAGTTTGCTAACTTAATAAATGTGACTGCGCGAAGATGTAGCTAAACACCGTTTCCCGGTACGTTACGGATTACGACACCACAACATCATGACATGATATTTATATTTTTATTGTAATTTTACCGTTTAAGATAGAAAAAAACATGATTTGTTAGAAAATTTTCAATGTTCCAATACTTTCTCAGCGTATATATTTCAAATTCTACAAAATTTGATTTTATTATAAAGATCTTATAATTTAGAACAGTTGACTTGTAGACAGTACTAGCCTCCTGCCATAATAAATAGTGATGTTTTAATTATTTTCTGCGTTAACTTTTCCTAGTATTTACATAATTATATTTTTGCATTGAATTATTTCTCTAAAAAGCTTTTTAATTTTTTTTCAAAATAATTGTTTTATCTAAAAAAGGGACCATCATGTCATTTTTAAAATATTACCTCAAATGTACTAATTAAGGTACCTATGCACCTGCTCTGTATTATATATCATCATTAACAAAGTCAAAATCTAAAAAAGATATAAGTAAGATTCAATAATATTTCACCAGGGCATCTATGAAATGTAAAAAGTACTTTTAATAAGTACATCCTAACAATGAAACATCATTGTACTGTATCGTCAATACGTATTGTGTATCGTTGGTCTGTATCGCAATACGTATCGTATCGGAAATTTCTGATCAATACCCAGCCCTAATGTGAACCATACTAGGACAAGGAAGCAGTGTATAAAATACCGAATGGCACTTTTAAAATGGAAAAAGATCATATAAAATGAAATCATTTCATTTTCAAATGGCAGTTTATAGCTTGTGGTTGTGTTGCGTGAATTGTTCGGCCGAAAGTATGCAGTTCAAAGTGTATTGAAAACATAAAATGTGTAGCCGCCGATGGGTTTAAATTAAAATGTTCTATAATTTCTGTCAAAGAGTTTGTTTTGAGGCTTTGCCATCACCATATTAGGGATACTCAGACTGTATCATCAGAATACCCCTGTGAAATATTCCTGATTCAATGGCCTTAAAGTAAGAAGGATGTCATCCTTGCCTCTGATATGTAACAGTGTAACTTGCATGTTAAAATGTTATAGGGCCTAAAATTGAAAATTAGTAGGCCTATAAATGCTTATAAATGGTGTTAACAGGTCTAGGATTTCATGATATTTATGGACAGTCTGTAAATTTTTGGACAATCCATAATTTTACAGATTTTTTTATCTGTAAATTTACAGACATGAAGTAAGAAAATAGCAGAAGTTGCATAAAAACTCAAAACCGCAGGTTAAAATGAATAAGGTTACGTATTATATGATTAAATGTAACAGTATGGTAAGATTCAGAACAATTTGATGACTTTCAATTTTCACTTTTAGCAAAAATTTCAAAATCATCATACAAAGATGAAACTCACCCCATTACCTTTGTAAATATAAACAATCAATAAAACAACTTGTCTTAAGCTGCGGATTTTAGTGTAAAACTAAAAACGGCAAATTTCTCATTGAATATCTGTAAATTTATGGATTGAAAAATCTTTAAAATTTTAGACTATCTATAAATTTACAGACAGTCCATAAATATCATGAAATCCTAGACCTGGTTAATATCCATTTATTAAAAAATATTGACATTTCTGACAGAATTATGTAATTAAAACACAATAACTGAATGACGAAGCTTCAAATTATTTCTATTATTCTGCTTTCATTAAAAAAAAAACAATTATTTTAACTTACTTTCACTTCAAACAAAATTCATTGAGTCGCGAAAATTGATTACAAATAAAATATAATTCATCTTCATCCTTATAACATTAATGATAATTGTATATGAACAAAAAGAGTGTAAGAACTTAAATAATTGCATTTAGTTAGTGTATACTTACACAATAATCAATGTATACTACGCCAAAATATTATCATGAAATTGTACAGCTGATTTCGTAAGAACGAGCAACACCCCATGTCGTACTCAAAATATTCGTACTAAATTGATAATTCGCTTTTGAAAATGTTAATTACCACATTTTCCTAAGATCAGATTATTAAATTCCTATTAACTTAGTAAATATGTTGTTGTTGTTCTTGTTGTTTTTGATGATGATGATGATGATAATGATGATGATGATTATTATTATTATTGTTGTTATTATTATTATTATTATTATTATTATTATTATTATTATTATTATTATTATTATTATTATTATTATTATTATTATCATTATTAGGCCTTTAACGATTATGACCGCAACGTTAAATTCGGGAAACAAATAGCTAGTTTGCTAGTAGGCCTATTAAATTGTATTACATAATATATTATTTCTTTATCATTTATGCGTAAGATTTTCATAAGATTTTTATGCGATTGTTAATTGAATAGTTTTGTTAATAGTTGATGAGCCCTTTTCACGTTATGCGCCCACATGAAATCGTCTGCAAGCTAAGCTACGTATATTACTTTGTTTTTCTTTTTCAAAACATTATATTTCATACAAAATGCATGTAACATTCGCTTAAAAAATAAAATTCATGTAAATACCATTAGTACCATAACCTATGTTCTAATTTTTCGAACACTATTTACTTACAGGTAGTTTGACTTAGCGACACGTTTATGTACTAAATAGAGCGTACCTACTATCAAAATGTCATGATAAACAACTATCACATGACCCACATCGATGTTCTCAATATCTTACTATTAAACCATACTGTCAAATATCATTTAAATAGTTTAAATAGTCTGTATATATAAAACGGGATCTTTGGGGATCTTTTCATAAGCCAGAAATCCAAGGTGATTAACGTATAGCATTGGTAACTAAGTTTATAGATTTACAAGATGGAATCGAAACTTATATTAATGATAGTGCCGCTTGTTACATTATGTTCTGCACAGCTGATCATTCCAAAACGACCCCTGGGATACGTGTACGCTGCCGGCAGTAACAATGCCGCCGTTCATATTGATATTCACATGGGACCTCTTTGCCCCGACAGTCGAGACGCGCTTCCAGTTGCTAGGCAAGTCGCCGAACACTATGGAGCGACAACCTTGAAGCTGACACTACATATGTTTCCTCTTCCATACCATCATCAGTCTTTCATAACAGCCAAGGTACGTACATAAATTCATCTTTATATATTTCTTTTTATTATTAAAGGCACATTATGTCTCAGAAATCCATACTTAAATTACAATTCTCTTGAAATGTCAAGCATGCCTTTAAATGGATTTAGAGCATATTTAATGTCTATTTGTTTGTTTGTTTCATTTTACGCCTTTTCCCAACAGTATTTCAGTCATATAGGCGGGTAGTTTCCTAACCATCGTTCCTGAAGAGTTACACCAGTACTTGACAACCTTCCTCCGCGCTAAACTACCAAATCATCTCCCGGTGATCGAACCCACGCCAGAGAGGTAACTGGATTAGAAGTCATCGACTCTAACCCCTCGACCACGGAGGCGGTGCATTAGATGTCTAACAACTCAACAAGAAAGTAACAATGACCCGGGTAGCTAAAAGTAAACAAAATAGTATTTTGACTTCCATACAAAATACTTATTCACTATCATTATTCTAATTGCCAACAGAGCAAAAGATGTTACAGATAGTCCAACTTTGTGACAAATGAGTAATTTTTGGAAACCGTAATAATATACCAAAAAAAAATGTTTGAGTAATAAAAATGATAGCAATTCTAAGGCATAATGGGCCTTTAAAGTAAATATAATATAATATGTATAAGACATTTTTCTTATAATATTGCATGCATCTATAACATTTTGCTGCTGCTTGTTTCTCAGGGAGCACAGATCATTCGCAAACTTGGAGCTGGTGACGTAGCAGCGTACAGTTGGTTCGAATATATTTACGCCAATCTAGACAAGTATTCTAATGACGCCACAGCCAATCTTACAACAAATAACGTTATTGCGTAAGTCCTTATAAGAAAAAAAACAAATAATACACTTAATTAAAAAGAATTGCTTGATGTCCAATCATTGCAAAGGCATGAGAATATGACTTCAATCAGTGTTCAATTTCATAGATTCATGGGTTTTACCAGAGACTTAAATAACAGAGTACATTGTGTACTCCATTGAAATATCACTCATTCCTATAAAAAAGTGAAAAATTAGGCATTTTGTAGCAAATAAAACTTAATGGATGTATTTTTGATCCTTTGATATTATATACCATTTGAAAGGTAAATCTTTTATCTATTGCTGCATGTTAAAATGTTGGTAACTTTCTATGCCTTTCACTTAGAAAAACATAGCAGAACATACCCACTGAGTCAGTTTTTCGTCATATGAATAGTTTTGTATAAAAAATTATAGAGTAGTTCTCTTTAAAAATTGATGTATCATTTATTTAAATGGGAACTGTAAATATTTTTTACCTGCAGCTATAGACAAATGCATAAGCTTTCAGAAAATGTATTATTTTCCTGATTTTGATATCTGGTTAATAAGTTTTACTTGCTACAAGTTTTAAGTTTAGCAGCCACGTGTGATATTTTAACTGGTTAGGAAGTTGCCTATCTCTGTTATCTGTGTCTCTGGTTTTATTGTTCACAAGCTGAACTATTTGGTTTGCTAATTATAAATGCTTTAAATACCCTCATCACTCCCCAACACCGCAAAAGCTACTTAACTACCAGTGTGTTATGGTTATAACTAAGTAAAGTTTATAATATCGCATAATAATAATAATAATAATAATTATAATAATAAATAATAATAATGATAATAAGTAAATAAATAAATAAATAAATAAATAAATAAATAAATAAATAAATAAATAAATAAATAAATAAATAATAATAACAACAACAACTAGATCTACTTGAGATGCCTTGCATATTGTATGACCGGTAATGCAAAGTCAGTAACATGTTTGTATTGTCATTTTTCGAGTTTCTTAACGTTGTTGATCGTATTTTAAATTGAACGACCGTAATCGAAATTCAATATTTTTTTGAAAG